ATGCCCCGATTTTTAATATGACGGATCACAGAACCTTCCTATAAGTGATCTAAACAAGATCATTTGTTTTGGATGATTTGATCGGATGATCCATTCGTTTCAATGCTCTCAGACTACAAAATAATTTGAAAAGTTCGGGAACGCAAATATAGTAAATATGCCAATATTAGAAGGCAAAACTTCAAAATCAACATAACAGCCAATCACAAGTAGGCATTCCTGTTTACCATTTTTACTCGACCAAATTTCTCGAGTAAAAAGTTTACAAATAGAACGCCATTTTGTTTTGTGCTCTCTTAAATTTGAGTCAATGTTTTACCTGTTTTGTGGGTGGAGGAACGGATTTCGAGTAAAATGTTGCAAAACATGTAAAATGAGTAGAATCTTTTAGGTTCTGGAACGGACCTTATATGTATTATATATATGGGCAATATTGCCAATTTTTTAACATAGCTGAAGCGGAGGTTCACCCCTTTATAACTCGGGAACTACTTAAGTATATGAAAAAAGTGAATAGTTTTGGGTTAATTGATCTGTCGTTGCAAACTGTTCATGATATTGACCTCCAAACTTTATTTTGGTGGAAGCTGTGCTGCTTTAATGTAAAAAAATATGTAAAAACTGGTTGAGGCGAACCAGTTTTTTTATGTTCTCTATCGATTTGTGACTAAGCCACTCATTGCACGGTCTTCGTGTCAAAATAAAATTAGAAGCCAATAAAATGGGGACTACGCCCCTTATGTATCATTTTTCAAAATTTTAACTGCATCTACCTTTAAATGATGCTGACATTTTGAAGCTCGATTTTGAGTGTTTTTTTAATTTTACTTCTAGCTTTAATACGCAAACAGGAATTTATAAAAATCGATTTTAAGATTATTGTAGTCGCGAATCTGCGTAATTTGATATGTATTTTGTGTGTGTAGTATTCACAGCTTCAGAGTAATACTCATCCGAAGGTGCGAATTTTGTTCGATCAAATTTCTAAAAAACCTATTTTTCGGGCCAAATTTTTAGATCTGCCAACTGAATGATATGGGTACCCGCGATCAATAATGTTTTTTACGTTTCGGATGATATAAAATCTTCTTCGTGAAAATCCATCTACTAGAACGGCGGGAACTGGCCTTCCAAAAACACGAAATTTGGCAAAAAATTTTTGTGAAAATATCGCGGATTTATTTGCGTTTTCTGTGTATCATTTCCGCTTCAATAAATGACCTCATACGGATTTTGATCTTTTTCGATAAGAGAACTTTAAAAACTTCAGCCGAAAGAGAGATGTACGCAATTTATCTCAAAAATAGATTGTGCTGGCACATCCATGGTTCTTAATGGACCACATTGAAATGGTATAGATCGATGTATTGTTTTAGGGTGCACACCGAAATCGGATGCGCGTTAATGGCATATGGTGTTTTCGGAAATTATTCGCGTTTTACGATTTTTTGGGTACTTCAATGTAACGTGCGGCACATCTTAGCCGTCAAATGAAATTTCGCAAAATATATATGGATTGGAAGATAAACATCAGTACTTCCTGGAAACCGCATGCGCATCTAATGATTTTGAGAATTACGCGATTTACACGCAATTTAAAATGTATATTTCATAATATTATTTTATTTTAAGATTTATTCCTATTTATAGAATTCTAAGATTTATCGGAAGAGTCTTGATATAATCCGCAAGGCGTATACTTATACACAGAAAGTGATTATTATTATATATGTAAATTTTTCGGCGAAATTCGGGTAAAATATCAGAATAACCCCAACAATTTTTTCTGAAATTTCTTGTATACAATTAAAAAAATAAATATGTATGATGACATTATTTTTTCGAACCAAAAAGAAATATTTTTCCTCAATATCTTGTTTTTTTGTCGCTTTGATTTAGAAACCGCTACACGGACTTGTGTGATTTTGATATCATTTGATTCACCATCGTGTTTAGATAATGTAGATATTTTTAAATTAATTTTTAATATTGATGTAATCTGCTATATTTTTTTTATTTTTTTTCATATTTCGCGAATATGTGCAACTTTATCGTGATTATTATAATATACTCATATTCTTATTTTACGGAGGAAGATATATATCAACGTTTTTGGTCAATATAATAAACGGCGTAATTTTAAGATTTTTTTCTTATGCACAAAATTAAAACCTCGATAACTTTTGCGCACATCAACCAAAAATTTGATCGCGAACGGTTTCGGAGTCAGAACATTTTTCTATATATGTGTACCAAAAATCATTGATGTGCCACAAAAACAAAAAAGCTGATTTTTTGAAAATGGAATATTAAAAAATTGGCAATATTGCCCATATATATATATATATATATATATATATATATATTTTATATATATATATTTATATATATATATATATATTTATATATATATTTTTATATATATATATATATTTTTAAAAAATATATATATTTTAAAATTAATGTTTAAACGATAATACATCTAAACCAATCTATCAATTTTGTTTTGGCTTTCGAATGGGTTAAGTTTATTTATTTTATTTTTATTTTTTTTTTTTTTAAAGGAACATTGCAAATTTATTACCCCTTTCGTCGGCCATCGTACTATATATCTGAACCGATTTAATAATTTCCGTCTGTTTGTTAAATAAGTACAGAGTACATATAAACCCCCTATTTTCTTACTGAATTAGTTATCCAAAAATTAATTTTCAAATCTTCCTAAATCTTAAGTATTGCGATATCTGCATGTGGGTTCTCTGACCAGTGTTGCCAAAACTTTGTTGATAAAAAATGCTAGATTTTGTTTAAAAAAGTGCTAGAAAGTGCTAAAAAATGTTAAAAAGGCCAAATAAAAGTGCTAAAAATGTTATAAGAGAAATTAGAAGAATTTACTATAAGGGAACATCCCCCAAAGAATAAGGAAGATCTTGACCGATTGGATTTATCCTAGTTCATACGATAGCTATACACTAACAGAGAAACGTCCCAAAATTTTGAATCGATCCAATTATTAGTTTTTGAGTTATCTTGCCCGACATTCGCAAAAACGCTGTTTGGTAAAAAATGCGTTTAAAGTTTGAGAAGCCCTCTTGCCGTAACTTGATGCTAGCGCAATAAATCGGCTATATCATCAAGAGTTGTTGAGATTTTCACTTGAAATTTCATAGGACATTTTTGAATTAGTGTAGATTCGAATTAAATCAAAATATAAAATTAATTTTTTTTAAATCGAGAATAGGGGTCTCCTTAATTTGATATTTTGTATTCTCATTAGGTAAAATGTCCCTACCAATAATTATCGATGTGATAATTAGAGAACGGCATTTGGGGTCGTCGAGCAAGTTTTTCATTAAATTGACTATAATTTGACTTTTTATCGGTTTTTATGGGGTTTCGGAGAATGGCATATATGCAGAAAATTGTTAAGGCACATAGTACAGATATTAAAGTACTGCTCTACCTTCTTTATGTGGAAGGTTTTAGACGCATTATCTGTTTTCTCGTAGGGTAGGATATATTTATGCGGACAATTTTCTACATAGGTCTACGTTTGGACATATCCCTTATATAAAGGTTCTATCCTATTTGTGTCCTTTAAGAATTAGAAGCTTTTCCGACGAAGTGTAGGTCCATCTTTTGACATAACACCATTATAACGTGGGACGCGACCCATTTTCTGTACTCTGAAATTGCTATAATTTGGCATTCGGGATTCGGGATGAATAATTGGGATTCCTCTCTGATTTAGGTACATGATTTTTACATTGCTCTTAATTTTCATTTTACCTAATAAACAACTTAATATCAGGCGATGCTATAGTAAGCATATGAAGTACCCGACCATTTTTTGAGACAAATTTAATACACATGGTTCAGGGTAAAAACACTTCTTACCGCCCGAACTTTAATACTTATTTACTAATGTACTGGCACTTTTTTACATTGGAAAATTAAAATCATAGCGTGAAACATAAGGACATTTTAATCCGTCAATGTGAAATCGAAATAATACCCAAAATTTCAACTAATTCCAGAAAAAATAAAAGTGCTAAAAAAGGTGCTAGGTGCTAGATCAATTTTTTTGGTGCTAAACGAGTTTCAAAAGTGCTAAATCTAGCACTAAAAGTGCTAAATTGGCAACACTGTCTCTGACACATATATTTCTATATTTCCGAACCTGTTGACGTGTGAATTATGTCCCAAAATTCCCAAAAAAATATTTCATATTTTGAGTTATAAATGTCTAGGAAATCTTTTTTTATTCAAATTCCAAACTTTTCGCCCAAATCCTATACATCTATACAAAATACCATTCGAAGTTAGTGGCCACCTTTTCATGTGGCCTGTATCAATTCAAACTCGGTAACATCACACACATTTTCCTCACTACGAGTGTGTGTATTTTCATGTATGTGTGTATGTCTCACTATAAGTCTTATCCTGCCAAAGGTTCAACATATTCTTTTAGTATACACAAAAAGGATTGCCATCCACTTCCATGAATGTGGATTGTGTCAAGTGCATACTTTGTTGTTATTATCCCCTAAAAATGTCATACACACATATGGCATATGTATGTGTGTGCGCATTATGTCTATGACGTTGGAATTATTATTTTGTATTTGTGCTTGTTTCTTTTTATTTTGTTTTGTTCCCATTTTCCTTATTTGTGTGTCCCATTGGATTGTGAGTTGCTGTTGTTGTTTTGGTTCGGTTTGTTTATTGCCGCATTTTGCGGCTAGAATGGGTTCCACCATCTGTTCGCTGGGTAGACTTTGCGATGTTCTGCGGCTCGTTTGTATTTGGTTAGTCATCAATGTTTTGCAGCAGGGCGATTGACGTGAGTCGCCACTGTGTCGTTTAAAGTTATAGTCTACACGGGCTGGTACACATCGATGTGTACATAAATAAGTACTTTTTTATTGAATAACTCACTCTATAGTAGCTCCGTTAATTGTATAATATCAAATTACAACAAGAACAACAAATATAACGTAATGGTTTATACATCATCTGAGGTAAGAGTTACTTACATATATTGATTTGGTACAAATATGTTACTTCATATCCAGTTATGGGATGTCGAATATCGGGTCATAGAACTAAAAATACCAAATTGGAAGAATTTATGAAGATATCTGGTCGGAAACATAATATCAGTATTTCATCAGAGTGGTTAAACGAAATAAGAAATACCGACGAAGTGTCATTTATAGCTGATCGCGAAGGCCGTGATCTTATATCGATTTTTGTGAATAGCAATTACGAGCCAGATTAAATCGATGAGAATAACCCGAAAGGAAACTATCTTGGATCATATACCCATGGGAAAATCAAATTGGAAAATGTTGCAATTACATATCGCAAAGGTCAAAATCACTTAGATACATATTTCACTTGATTCAAATTCCGAAAAAATATCAATATAATGTGGGATAAAAAGAGTCTGTGCTATTGGAATATTTATAAAGTCAGAATTGAAATGTTATGATATGACGTTAGAGTTTTCAAAAGAGCATTTCTATCTCTTTACGAAAAGAAGGTCTAAGACAGAATCAGAATGTCGCGAGATACTTGTAAAAATACGATTTGGTTAAATCAAATCCATTCACATGTCCGACCACAGAAATTTTATATTTTGATATTTTACAGCAAATTTTGGGATATTCGAAGAATTTTATGTCATCAACTTTTATTGGAGAATCGAATTCTAGTTACGTGTGTCCCCATAAATTATTGCTATATATTGGTTCAATAATGTCCATATTTTTACTATAACGAATTGCATAACCTTCCAATAAGTGACATAAACGTGACTTGTGATGTTATCTGTTAACAACAACATTAAAATGACAGAACATGCCAGCAAGGCCAGAATTCTGCTGATTTCACATCCCATATCCTCCGATGTCAAATATGAAGCTTATTTTTCCCATTTTGATGAGAAGGTCAAATAAAAAGCGATGCATTCCAAAATCATCTCAATGCTGAACGACAAGATGTCGAATCTGAATAATTAAACAATTTCGAAAAGTTTTTAACAAAATTTATATCGGTGTTTTTGGGACCGCATGTCTACAGCCAATTCGAATGTAGAACACTTCTGTATTGTAAATAGATTTTTGTATGCCCCTCTTCTTGCTACTTTCTACAAATTACCCCATCATTAAATTTCTATACACTAATTCCGCTATACAGCTAATTCTGCCCGTTTGTCAAGCTTAGGTCCATGTTTTGGCATAACCCCATATGAAGGGCTCGCCCGAGGTTTTTAGCAAATCCGGGAACTTTTTATACTTTTTATACCCTCCACAATGTGGGTACATTCAAATTTCCTTAAGTTGGCCGGGACATTTATAAGGGGACTTTATATTTAGTTTTTCATGCTCCCTAAAATAGGTTTCCAAACCACAGACACTCTAGTTGGAAAACTTAAAAGGGGCTTTTTATACCCTACAAAACTATGTTGTCAGGGTTTTACAGCTTTGTTTGTAATGCCGCGAAATATTGGTTCTAGACCCACTTTTATGTATACCGATCATCATTTCTCGACCAGCTGAGACGATCTAAACATGTGTGTCCGTCCGTCTTTCCATTATAATTTGTAAACACGATATAGACCTCAGTTATAGATTGTCCCGAAATTTTACATGTAGGATGGGTTCTGACCAATGAAGCCCTATTGTTTTTGGTAGTGATTCGTTAATATGGACCAAAAACTTTATTTGTATCTGTTTTTCTGGTCGCTCTTGAGGCCACAATTTTGACTGATGTATCTACTCGGACGTGGGAGTTATACTTAAATATTTACAGATGTACACCTAAGTCTGTTTTTACACGGTAGATTGGTTCCAGAAGAAACCGTGTAAAAATACCGTGTAAAAAAGGGTATTCCCCTAAGTAAGTGCTATTCACATTTGCTTTGACCAGTAAAAATTGTTTGTACGCGCTAAAGGGGAATTCACTCAAATCTTTAAGCTAGTGTTCGCAAACTATCGATACTATCGATGGTTTCAGACTTTTTTCTTTCATAAATACTTTTTTGTGATATGAACATACTTAGCAATAATTAAATTTGACAAAAAAATTTAAGTACATAACATTTCAAATCGTGCTAAATGGAATAAAATCGTGTAAAAAATAAAAATATTCAATTTTCAAACCGTGTTTTATCAAAACCGTGTACAAAAAGACCGTGTAAAAACAGACTTAGGTGTATACATATTCTGATATTAGTTAGTAAGTTAGTAGGAAGATTTTACACACCATGAAAATGATTAAAATAGACAATTTGGTTGAAAAAAACATGCCCAAACCCAGCAAAATAGCGAATAATGGGGACTACCCGGAACCTTGGACCAATATTGACATTATTTTTCTCAATGAGAATCCAAAATATTAAATTGATCCTGAATTGGTAGAACCACCTGCTGAAACTCCACAAATTCACAATGGTCACTATACAAAAATCCATTTCTGCATCGGAAGTGGCCGATATAGCTTTCATATATAATTCGCCCGGTTTCTTATATTCTCTACGGATGTCTACGGTTCAAACGCGATTGGAAATAGATTTTGCTTTCGTATACAAATTATAAGTGATAAATCCCAGTATCGCCATTTGATTTTTGGTTTTGATTGGTGAACGACTTCTGTAAAAAATTGTGCTTATTAATATATGATATGTAATGACTATGACTAAGTTTTGGTTGAAAGCTAAGAAATCTAACAATTTCCACGTGGATCGGAGTAAATTATACAAAAAAGTTACAATAACCATTTACGTTAAATCGGACGAAAATATATATGGAAGCTATATTTAAATCTGATTCGATTTTTCCCAATTTCAATAGGGTTCGTCCTCGGGCCAAATAAATGAGCTGTACCAAATTCCATCCAAATCGGATCATAAATGCGACCTGTACTTTGTTCACAAAAATACATGGACGGACGTACAGACGGACATGCGTAAATCGACTCAGAATATGATTCTATGTATATTCTCAAAAGGAACCATGGGTCTATCTCGATTTCTTTTGCTTGTTACAAATATATGCACAAAGGCATAATACCCTGTACCATAGTGTGGTGAAGGGTATAAAAATAAATTTATCTACAGAATTTATCAATTTCCAGTCTTGTCGACATACCCATTCATTTCCAATATATACATTTTATATACATACATATATGTATACAAACGTACACTTGCTTCTAATTCAATTATACAAAGTATAACAATTCTTTTCTTCTTCTTCGACCATTTTAGGGTCAAACCGAAAGCAAAAGGCATTCAAAGAAACACAATGCTGGTGAAATTCAAACCAAAGGTACGGCCATGTCTTTTGGATTTCGTAAAAATCTCAATACGACTCCGAAGAAATTGAAGAAACTGCTAAAAGGGGAAAATGCCAAGAAAAAACAGGATAAATGTAATAACGTGTGTACGAATGACACAGAAGCGAACGCCACAGATGAACATGGGGATTCGGGTGGTTATGATATGACAGATAATAATGACACGAAGTGCCATCTAAGCAACACCGTGAATGATATACGGAATGCAACAGCAGCAACAACAACAACATCAATGGAAAATGATGATAATGGCAATGCAGGTAAATCAACTTTGACATATTTTCTGTAAAAATTAAAATCGAATAAATTAATTAATATTTTTTAATTAGATTTCCTTAACAATGTGCACTTTGATAAAATGGGAGCAGTGGCCGCAAATAATGTTAACTCTGGTAACACAACAACAACAGCAGCATCAAACAATGCATCTGGTGGTGGCGGCTGCAATGGAAATGTTCGATTACCTGGAGCCGGCAGCCGTTTTGGTTATCGTGGTCCTGTACGACCATCATCGACAGATATAACTTCTCGTTGCAAGAATGAAGCCAACGAAAATGTCGAGAACAACAATAGTGCTACAGCGGGAAGTAACACCAAGGGACAATTAGTGAGCAACTGTAAGTATTGTCTGGCGATTTATGAGGTTTTTTTTTTATAAAACTGGGTTAGTTAAAAATAGTTTCTATATTTTATTCACAACTAGCGGGCTCGGCAAACGTTGTCTTGCATAGCATTATTGTTGATGTATAGTTCACAAATATAATTCAAGATAGTCCAATATTAAGCTACACTACACGATTTAAGTGCTCTGAAATTTGCACATACATTGCTACTACTCCTACGATATTTGGTATTGAAAATGTTCAATATTAGTTCACTATTTAGGGTATCCCCATATAACGGTAACCTCCATATGAGAAATTGTAACGATTTTATCAACAGAATTGGTTGTAATTTAGCAGAAAGTGTCCGTACAAATATTATCAATATTGGCATGTGTTTCGGAGTACCGCCTATATAATGGTAGCCCTAAACATTCAGTATTTTGAAGATCTTGGGCACGGTTTTCAACAGCATTGCTTTTAATTTAATATAAGGGATAGTTCTTGAGCAGAAAATCTCTCTACTTAAAATTCAATATTATATCAGTATTTGGCTGTAATTTTATATTTTGGATGATCATCGAGTAGAAAATGTTCCTAACAAAGCTTCCGAAATGCCTCCATATAATGGCACTCCACATACGATCCTTTGGGGATTTGGACACGTTTTTCAACCTAATCAGCTGCAATTGGTTGTTTTATTTGGTAGCATGAATCCTACTAAAATTGTCAATATCAGTTCACTCTTCTGTATTTTGGGGGGTTTAGCCACGTCTTAGAACAAAATTGGCTGTAATTTTATATTTTAGATGATCAGTGAGTACAAAATCTACTTACTTAAATTATCAATATTGATTCAAGTTTCCGGGCAGCACCCATATAATGGTATCCCCTCATTTTATCATGTGGCGTCAAATCTTCATACCACCAATTAATTAATCCCCATTCCCATTGTATGTCTAAATATAATAAAATATGTCATTTCGGGATATTGGGGGTGAAAAATTATCTATTTAGGACCATGTTTTGATATAGCATATAAATACAGGTTTCGGTTCTATAAATACATTGACCGGATTCCTGTGAATTAAAAACAGCATCCCAGAAATTATGGACTATAGAATAACGTTTTAGAAATAAGTCATAATTATTTCCCGTTCAATTTTCGGTATGTTGAAGTTCTTATTCCCGTTTTCCAACCTGAGTGTGATATGATATACTTCTCAATTATTTGTTGTATTTTCCTTAAAATGTTTTTATACAATGTCAATCCAATTAAAAAAAATAAATATTTAGAAAATTTCCTATAATTGACAAATGTAGGCTTAAAGGAATGATACGCTACCGATTTTCGCCAAAAATATCTCAAAATAACAACTACGACGTGGTGCAATTCAAATAGCTCGATACTAAATTCGTGAAAATGCAAATATGTTGCAAAATACTTTTTGCAAAATTTTCGCGGTTTTTGACTTTTTCTCACCTTTTAAACCTTCCCTGGAGCTCCACGAACATTTCATTCATTTCAACATTCAACATTGCCGGCCCGGCAAACGTTGTCTTGCATAGCAATATTGTTGATGTATAATTCACATAACGATAGCCCAATATTAAATTATCTTTAAGATAGGGCTCTGAAATTTGCACATACATTGAAATTGCGCAGAAAGTGTCCGTACCAAATATTATCAATATTGGCCCATGTTTCGGTGTACCGCCCATATAATGGTAGCCCTAAACAATCGGTTTTTTGAAGATCTTAAGCGCGGGTTTCAACAGAATTACTTTTATTTTAATATAGGGGATACATATCACTACATAAAATTATCAATATTGGCCTAAGTATCCAGATAACCCTATAATATTCGGTATTTGGCTGTAATTTTACATTTTGGATGATCATTGAGTAGAAAATGTTCCTAACAAAATTTACCCAAGCTTCCGAAATCCATATAATGGAACTCCACATTATGGAATGCTTTGGGGATTTTGGCACGTTTTTCAACCTTAATTAGTTGTTTTATTTGGTGAGTCCAAAATCTCCTTACAAAGAATTATCAATATTGGTCAAAGTTTGTGGGTTGCACCCATATAATGGTATCCCGCCCTAATTTCTCATGTTGTGTAGAATCTTCCTACCAATAATTAAAATGTCTCCATTCCCATTGTTGTAGTTAAAATAGTTCATTCCGGGATATTGGGGGGAGACACATTTTTGCGACTAAGTATCTACGTAGGTCCGAGTTTTGATATAGCATCTATATAATTAGGCATAACGAATTCCTGTGAATAAAAAACATCATTCCAGAAATTTTGCACTACAGCTTAACGTTAAAAAACGCCATAATTATTTTCAGTTCAATTTTCGGTATGTTGAATTTCTTACTCCCGTTTTCCAACCTGAGTGTTATCGGTAGTTAGCATGTTCAATACGAATGGGTAACATCGGACAGATGTTACCCATTTCATATTCCATTTGCCGTTTACAAACATATCTACAAAGACATAATACCCACACAGTGTGGGTATTTCAGGAACTTTAAGGAACAACATGTTCCTATTATTATTATTTTCAAACAAATTAATCAAGGGCATGGATCTTAGAATCAGAATACCCCGAATGGACACGATCTCGATTCAGAATCTCTTCTGATTTTCCATCCTTGCATTAGTCCCAAAATGTACTTGCATTCTATGGACGATCTAAGTCAGGTCGTCTTCTCCTCGGCATCTTAACGTTATTAATTAATGACGTATTGTTCGGCATAATAGTGTAACTATCACAGGGTCACTATCTCAAAGGATCACATAAGTAAAGAAAGTTCTCGCGCACGTATCGGTAATCGAAACTTAATCCTTTCAGAAACTTAATTTGTGAACAAATTTAAAATTTATCAAACTTAAAAAAAAAATTCTGACAACAAAAGCAAATTAAATGTATGAATCTACATTTTATTTAGAAAACATTTGTATGGGAAATATAAAAGTCAGCTTTTTAGAGATTTCCCGGCATTTATTCGATCTTTTCTCACCTTTTAAACCTTCTCTGAAGCTTCACGAACATTTCAAGACTAAGATAACAAAAATCCGTTCAGCCGTTCTCGAGTTTTAGCGAGACTAACAAACAGCAATTCATTTTTATTTATGTATATATATAGATTTTATTTGTGTGTGCGTGTCAGAGAGAGAGAGAGAGAGAGTAGAATTGAAATTATAGCGAAGAACTGTGAATTATAAGTTCAACTAGAAGTTGATGGTATATTCCAGAGGAGTGGTTGACCAATTATATTGTTGTATGTACTCGAATGTGGGAGTTATACGTAAAAGGTGGTATGTGTTGTGATATTGTTTAGTATCACTATTACCCCACTTGTGAATGGAAATGTCGCGCTGATCGCTTTGAAATTTTATATGAAGCTCCGACGCGAATACTTTTCGGTGATGTTGAGATGATATATAGGGGGTGCAATGAACCGAATACTTTTTTCTATGCACAACGCAACATATTTTACATGGTGAAGAGGGCGTGTCCAAATACTTTGAACGGCTGTTTATATGATGATCGATCAATATTCCGAGAGTAAAATCATCCAAAAACCTAAAGTTATCAATTTTTTGTGGCGTAAATATTCACCTCGGGAAAACAAGACCTGGAACATATGCTAGGGTTAGAAAGTAGATCAGTTGGCATATAATTGGTCAAGAAATATTGCCCTGGCTCAAGGATCATACCTAAAGGTCAATTTTGTTAAACACATGCCACATATTTCTCCAAGGACTCTATGAAAGCTAAAGTTCATAAATTAAATTGTATGTACTCAGAAAAATGTTTGGCAAAAAAAGAGGAGTATACCGATGGGTCCAATCTTCGGTTTTGATCTGGTTTTGCTGAAAAATTTTACGATATGCATTTAACGGACCAAATCGTTTCAATGAAATTTACACGTTTTACAAATTTTGAGCCTTTTTAGAGGTGATACCAGAAGAAGTGGACAGACGGGCCCATTTTAACACCCTCCACTATAAGGTGTGGTATGTATTAAAATTGTCACTCCGTTTGCAGCACCTTGAAATATTCACCGATTTATGCGTGTCCGCCTGTTTGTCTCTACGTCTGTCTTTTGAAATCACCATAGAGATCGCAATATCTGAGGTAGAACTTTCTAACCTTGTCCAGGCATTGCTATTACTTCTAGGATGGTGGATATTGTAAATGGGTAGATCGGTCCACGTTTTGTTATAGCCCCCATATAAGGTTACCCAATATATTCGGTATTATGGCGATTTTTGTCACGTTTTTCAAACGATATACCAAATTTTCCTACAGAAATTTATCAATATTGGTCCACTTTTTTGAGGAGTAACAGTAAGAGAAGTCTTATTTGGGGTTCCAACAGAATCAGATGTAATTTGATATTGACTACCAGCTAAGGGTGAGCCCCATATAAACAATATTCGGCACTTTTGGCTGCAATTTGGTATTTTGGATTGTGGTGTGGTAGTTAATCTTTCTATTAAAAAATACCAATATTAGTCCACATTTTAGAGAAGTCCCCCTTATAACGCTACATCCCAAAGATAGGTATTTGGGGGGTTTTGGGCACATTTTTTAAATAAATTGGTTCTAATTTAATTTTTCAGAGCCTAATGGTTCAAGTTCTATCATATCTTCATACTAAACATAATCAATATTGGTTCACCTGTATTTTTGGGGAGCTTGAACACACGCTTCAACCAAATTAGCTATAATTTAATATTTTAGATTCTCATATAGTAGAAAATCTACCTGCCCAAAAATTTCAATATTGGCCTATGTTTCCGGATCGCCCTATTATTTGGTGTTTTGGTGGACATGGATAGGATTCTGGAGCCCAATTAACCTCACCCAAAAGTTCCGCCTCTTTTCTGGTATTAATAAATTTGAACCAAATTTTCTCATGGGATTGGCGAATAAAAAAAAATAGAACACTTTGAACAACTGCACTGGTAGAGGGTACTAAAAGTTCAGCCCGGCAGAACTTAATGACGTTTTTACTTGTTGAACTTGATCTAGGTTTGCTAAAAATAGTACGATGTGCACATTTTTATTTAGCAGATGGAATTCTGCTTGGAAAATAACCCAGTGCCTGAAAATGGGTCTAAACTATGATAATATTGAAAAAAATCTACAAAGAAGATGTTTATGTATATCCACTATATTTTATTTGTCATATATTCCACCTTATGGCGGAGGATATGATGAATATTACTAGTTACCGTTCCATGGCAGATATTTGCTCCATCCATGTTGGACAGCAAACACTTTTTATTATCTTTTGCTATTTACTATACATTTTTCTAACTTGACATTGTTTTCTTTTATTTCTTTCTTTTAAGTAAAACGTCGCTCAAAGAGTGCACACGCCGGACGAACACCATCAACATCCAATGAGAGTGATACGGAGACAACTACCACACCTCGTGCCACTCAACCAAAGACGATAACATTCAATTTAAAGCAAAACAGTACCATTGAGTATGACAGGCGACAGTTCTTTGAACAGCCACCATTATCGGGTGCAAGTGGGCTAAGTGGCCGCTATGCCTACGGAGGAAACGCCAGCAGTAACATCATTTCAACCGGCATGCACAGCAATGTTATGTAAGAAATAGTAGTTTCATTTAATCTATGCCATTTTATTAGCGGTTCATTTTATTTTCACATAGACATCGGCCCACAGCAAGATTACCATTGAATACTGTGACAACGGCACCAGCAACAAGTGCAACGGCCTATACCAAATACACCCTGCAAACAGTCAGTTTACCAAAGCCGGAATTTGCTGTACCCATCAGCATTAATGTAACGACACCAACAACACCGGCCAGCACTTCATACAACTCCTCCTCATCGGCATCATCAACAAGGACCCGAGATAACTCATGGAACCGTCCACAACATCCACTGACCGTGGCCCAATCAACGGCTCCACGTATGGATTCCAAAGCAGCCAAACACATGACAAATAGCACGAGGCGAACATTCTCCGGCAGTCGGGAGATTTCTGCTGATTCGGGTATTGCTAGTCTTGACATGGCATTAGATAGCTCCGGCTCCAGTCGAATGAGTAGCTCAGGTGCCCATAAAGGGTCGCCCAAACGAAGTCGCAGTCGTCCCCGCAATCTACAGATGGTAATGAATGGCCGTCACCGCTTCGAGGTGAAAGATTTGGACGATTCGTTGTCAAGTGGAGATAGTTCCATTGTTGAACCGTTGGCTTTACCAAAATTGCCGACGGAAAATCAAACTGTGCCATTGCCGCTTAGCGGTTTGATACGTTCCAATACGGTATTGAGTCGTGAATCGTACGAGTCACGTAATACTGAAAATAAACAAAAACAAATAGGTGAATATTATTATTGTAGAATTTGAACTTCGTAAGGAATAATTTTGTTGTTGTTGTTTTTTTTTAATTTCAGTAAAATTAGACACGGATTTGGCCAACATTAGTCAATCAACATCGCGACAAGCTTCCGAAGAAGATAGTGAATTTGTTGACGAAGAAAAACTCCATTTGGATAGATCTGCAACGGAAAAGGGAGCAAAGGTAATTATAGTATTTTGTACCCATGCCATGGTATTATAACTTTGTGTAGCCCCAAGAGTTTGTAACGCCGCGAAATATTGGTCCTAGACAAACCTTTTAGTATACAATTCGTCATCTCGGTGATGCTGAGATTATATTTAGGGGTGCAATTAACTGAAAGCTTAATTTTTGTCAGATCAATTGTTGCACGCAAAATATCAGATATTTTACACAGTGATGGGAATCTGACCAAATACTTAGTACGGCTGTTTAGATGAGGATCGGTCAATATTCCAAAGGGTCAAATCAACCAGTGACCAAATTTTTATTTTATGGTATAAATATTTACATCGCGAAATATGCCAGGGTATCAAATGGTAGGTCCGTCCGACTATACTGTTCCGTTCAATTATTTTAACTTTGAGCAGATTTTGAACAGAATTGGCTCTAATTTGATATTTTGAGTTCTCAAATCTTCCTATAAAAATTAGCAATGTCGGTCCACGTACCTGTATCTCTCCATATTTGTAATTTCAAAGTTCTAGCAGTATTTTCCTATCGAAGAGTCTGTAATTTGATATATGGGAACTATGTCATTACGTGAACCTATGTTGAAATTGTTATAACATAGCTCCCATGTAGGGGGCGGTACCCCTTTTCAGTATTTTGAAGGTTCTAGCCGCATTTTCCCACCAAAGTAAATGTAATGTGGCATAGCAGGCTTTTTGAAGTGGTATATATATATGCAGGATAATGCCAATATCGTTGACCTATATGCCGGTATGGCCTCAATATAATGCCTGTAATTTGAAAATTTGGGTTTTTGTAGCATCATTAAAATCTCTGCAGAAAATCATAGATATAGGTTCCGTTTTAATATAGCCCCCATATGAAGTTCCGGTCCCATTTTCGGTATTTTGTAATTTGGCCTTCTGAAGTTTCAAGCCCAATTTTTAATCTCAGCGATTAGCAGACATCTTAGTCCTGTTCGATTTTAAATACTTTGAATGTCCACATAATGATGGAGGGTATAACATGTTCGATCCGACGGTTTTGCTTCTTACCAGTACCCTGTTTGCTGGCAATGTGTTGCAGAGCACTGGACATGTACCTTGGCACTGTAGTTGTATGTAAAATTTATTCAAAATTTTCCTTTTTTCTAATTTCCAGGAACGTCAATTTAAAGACATCAATACATGCTCCAGTAAAACTTCGTCACCCGACAGTTCAATTATTTCCTCATGGTGTAATGCAGGCGAGTCGTTGGCAGCAAATGATTTTAGTACATTAAGTTTGGACAGCAGCGAAGATAGCAATAAACAGGACAATAAACTTCTAGAGGAGCAAAAGGAAAGCGAACGGAAACTGTCATTTGAAATCAATGATGAGGACTTGGTCACTCTGAATACCGATGTACAAATTAGCACATTATGTATGTAGACTAGAAATTTCAGTATAATTGCGAATAATATCTTATTGATCTATTTTATAGCTTCCTTAACTGAACCTGTTACGCTCAACGATGAAATCGATAATTTACCCAAGGAATCCACAAAACTAACTACTCTCCCTGATGATGATAAGAACGCAACGGATGACAAATTGGAACGTCCCAAAACCCTGTGTAACTCATTGAACGAGTCTAAATTCGCCGAAATGGCTTTGGAGGGTAGCACATTTCTATTGGATGACGAAACTTCGCCTACCGACAGTTTGGTCAGTAGTAGCGAGTCCGAAGGTGCAGCCTGCAAACAAAAGAAACACAAGCTCAATGAAGAATTGCAGGAGAAGGACATCGATGAAATTTCGCCAGAATTAGATTTGGCTAGCCCTCTATCGCCCGGTACTCCAACTCATTGTTCTCGCTCGCTGTCACTATCGGACTGTGGTAATTTAATTGATGATGAGATAGCCGATCAACCGGCCCTACTATTCAATCAAGAATCACAGGATGGTGGTGCAGAGAGCGGTACATCGCGCCGCGATCGAACCGATACGCCAACGCTCATGGAGAGTTTAAGTTCGTTGCGCAACTCCATACACAGTCAAACGAATAGGTCACGCAGCGCCCTCTATCAGGCAATGGAGTTGAGTTTGCGTACACCATTGGCGGTACGCAAAGCAGTAATGGAACGGGCGGAATCTTTAGACACATTATCGCCCTGTGAATCCATCTGTTCCGATGATTTAATGATGGATTTTGATATGGCCAGTAGCATGGATTCAATCGATAGGTGGGTATAGACTAATCCATTGTTTACACAACGAATATATCTAAAAAATATTTGAAAATATTTATTTTGCATTTTAGATCGGTTTCCATCAAAAGCCGCAGTGGCTCGGATTTAAATAAAATTGATGACAGTGAATTGTTTTCCGAATTAGATCGCAAAGGTAGCGATGTTATGAAAGAATTAAATAATCTCCTAAGAAATAATTCCAAGAAGAACAAAGATCGAGATATAACGTGAGTAAAAGAATATTTTATATATATAAACATTTAGAAAACTTAAATATATATTTATATAATTACTGCGTTATAAGTTACTAACTGAAAAAAAAACACTGTTTGGAAGGGTGAACATTTCAACATTTTGGAGGCATGAAAAACCAAGTTGAGTTAATAGAATCCAGAGTTGAATTTGTTTGCTATAATTCATAATGAAATGTGAAATTTGTTTTGGGATGACATGTTGATATGTGGTCAAAATGAAGGAGAAATATTCTTGTCGAACATTTCATACTCCTCATTTTTTTTTGTACCGCAAACTGGGAGAGAAGATTTGACATCTCATTATAACACACCTCATTAAAACAAAATTTAAATTGCAGTATGGGGGATACCCGGAAACACGAACCAATACATGTCATAATTATACAAAGTATTCTCATGCAGTCACATATTTCCACTTTCCACATTTTCACACATATTTCGGTCCACTTTTTCTGATAGCCCCCATATAAGGGTACCCCCCCCCAATTTTTGTTATTTTGGAGTTCTTGAGCGCGATTTTCAACCGAATTCGCTGACATTTGGTACATTGTTTTCTTATTTGGTGCCAAATGTCTAAACTAAAAATTATAAACATCGGTCCAGTTTTTCTGATAGCCCCCATATAAGGGTACCCCCCAATTTGGGGTTCTCGAGCGCGTTTTTCAACTGAATTTGCTGTAATTTGGTATTTTGTAGTCGTATATGGTAACAAATCTCCTTACTAAAAATATTAATATTCACCCCATTTTAGGGGTAGTCCCCATATAACTCCCTATTTTTTATTAAAATAGCTAATTTGTTCCGTGTGTTGGGGTTATCCCCATATAGCTGTATTTCACCATAGAATGGGGGATATTTTGTAGACGAAATTTTCAGTTCATACCCTGCATAGTATGGAATTCTAAAACGATTTAGTCGATTTGGCCATATGTTGCAATCATTTTTATATCGGAGGATATCGACATAAAAACTAGAACGTGAGGTTTGAGAATGAACTATATCGACCCGCATTTAGGACCAGGTCCTATATAAAACATCCTACAAATTTAATATTTAGCGTAATGCACGGTATTGGGATTCAAAACTAAATTATTAGCTTGGAACTTGAGCTATATCGGCCTTTAACTAGGCATAACCTCTTATAACCTCTTCGCTAATTCCTACACAAAGTTGTCAATATTGGTCCCGTCTTAGTATGCCTCATATAAATTTGCCTTCTAAATTGAAGTATTTTCAGGATTTTATACACTACTATGGATTTTATACCCATTTTTCAAGATTTTATATACACCCTACTATGTCAACATTGTGCGGTTTTCAGATTGTAGGGAAAACCCCCATTGAATTTGCTGAAATGTCTATTTGGTTTACAACAATCGATTGGTAGAATTGTAGTTATATGTATGTTCCCTATATTTTCATTTCAAAAAATTTTCAGTATTTCTATGGTGGAGGGTATCCGAAGTTCGGCCCTGCCGAACTTAACGCTTTTTCAGTTGTTTAATAATAATATAGCCCCATGAAACGCTAGCCCCCTAGTAGGTAATCATATTTTTCTCACGACTTTTTCGATATATTCAAGGTCCTATCAAATTATGTACCCATTAATTTTAGATTTTGGGTATAAAAAATTCAACCGGTCCAAACATAACAGCAATTGGAGAAAATTCGGTTGAATATCGCTATATGCTGGCCAAAGGTACCATAAAGTGGACCGATATAGGAATATTTGGAATGACACCAAACATTCAAAATATACAAAAACGGGAGATGTTTTTGAAATGTAGGGTAATGCCTACATGTGGGCTGATGTCACTTATTTTACTGCCAAAATTATAAAAGTGCCGAAAATCAGTATTAATAAATTTTATCAGGTGGATTTGGTACCCAATGAGAAACATTTTCCACCAAATTGGATTATAGTGCATCCAATTTGGTGGAAAATGTCTCCGAAATCTTCAAAATTTCGTAAATTTTGGGCTACCGTTATATGGGGACTAGTCTACCTCCGAACTTGACCTGTTTGCAGACATTACTAGTACTCCTAGGAGATTTAGATGTATTGGTGTAGACCTTATATAATGGTACCAACAAATGACATATCAATGCAAAATTTCAGCACCCTATCTCGATTCCTTCGTAAGATAAAGTGATTACAAAAGGATCGAGAATATTTTTTCTTTAAAGGTCGGAAATGTATATTTCTATAAATCACAAACAAAATGACTCTCTATATGTAGGAAACCCGCCCATGTTGCTACCATATACCATTTCTCACAAGCCTCTAATGACACCCGAATTAAGTACATAATGGAAATCCCAAGTCTTATTTAAATAAAATTTTACTATAACTTCCTTTGAATTATTTACCATTTGTAAAATTTTTTATGAAAACATTATATGTGAGCGGACAACTATAAAAATAAACCAGTGAGCGGAGCAGTATAGTCGGACGGGGCCGGTCATATGATACCCTACACAACTACCACGGAACTCTAACTTTCTTCGGTTCTATATTCTGAGCCTGGGCAATTTTTCGCGATATTTGCACCCTCTTGACCGATTAGAGATCAACAGCACATCTTCCTTACATTGACATATTTTCTGAACATCCCAATATTCAGTACTGCCCTTCTAATTACTTGTCCAGATTCCCTTCACTGTGTGTTGTGTTGTTATTTTCGGCTTGTGGCCTATATATTGACTCTAAAAAACACAAAAAATTTAGTTTTCGATCTACTTCATCCCAAAAATTTAATCTGATCATCACTGAAAATTATAGGTTGTCCTTGACCATACCTGGATCCTTAATGAAAATTTCAAAGCGATGAGCGCTATATTTCCGCCCTCTATTGTGGTAATGTGTTACTAAATTATATATGAATACGTAAGCACCTGTAAATATTTAAATTTAACTCCCACATCCGAGTACATACGCCAATATAATTGGCATCAATTTAAAGGCCAAAAACTCCTCTTGGATATACTATCAATTTCTCGGGTCCATGTGCTTCAGGAGTAAATATATATGCACTAGAATACAAATTTTGTGATACAAAAGTATAGATCTATTTGACCCGCTAAATATTGAGCGATCTTTAACAAAACAGGCATGTTTATTCTTTGGCCCGATCCCATTCTCCATGCAAGAATTCGCGATGTTTAGGCCATAATTGCGGCCTCTGGAGCGACCAGAAAATCAGACAAAAATAAAGTTTTTGGTCCATTTCATCCCCTAAATATTAACCGATCTTTTCAAAAAGCAATAGGGATCTACATTGGGTAGAACCCATCCTACATGCAAAATTTCGTGAAGATTGGTCCATAACTGTGGCCTGTATCGTGTTTACAAATTATAATGGACAGACGGACGGACACACTGGTCTAGATTGATTCAGCTGGTCGAGATATGACGATCGGTATACTTAAAAGTGGGTCTAGGACCAATATTTCGCGGCGTTACAAACTCTTGGGGCTGCAAAACTATAATACCCTGACAACATAGTTGTGTAGGGTATAAAAAAACAATTTTTAAAATGTAGAGAGAAATATTTGGAAATAAAACAAGTTACCGTTGGTAGTGTCATTCCTCTTTAACCTTTTCTTTCTTTTTTTGGTTTCTCACAGTTTTTTACCAAAAAAATAATCCCACACACATAACTACAAAAAATAAGTATGAATTCAAACTCCCGCATGTCGTAACTACTTTCTTACCACTATGAATTCATTACGAAAAAAAAACTGTAATCAATTCAAACAAAGCAAACTACAAATAAGAAACAAATACCAAAGAAATGATAAATCAAAAAAATAAATAAGTAAATAAGAGAAAAAAAAACAGACAACTTTACCCCCAAAAAGCCTTAGCATACTGCCGGTGCCCAATCACGTAAAACTCTGACCTTTCACCAGAAAATGATTTTATTGCTTTAAACCAAAATTGGAAATACACAAAGTCAGCCAGTCAGTCAACACCAAACAACCAAATTACAAATGAATGCAAAACAAAGAGAGGAATGCTGTAAGGCACTAAGGGCTATTCCAGCAAAAAATATCAAATTAATGAAAGAAATATTATGTAAATTTGAAAAGCGAATATATGAATCACATTAAAAATATCAGTTATCAACGACACATGCTTCCTATATGGATATCATTTTGTGGTTTTTTGTGATTAAGGATAAGTTATTTTCGGCGTCGGAGGAACAGAACAGAAATCAAAAAATTTCAACTGGTTTAGAAAGAGTTCATGTGTTGAGCTTGGTTTGATTTTTTTGCAGCTTGATATTTCTACTATTCACACTCAAAATGTTTTGCGATTTTTAATTGATTTTCAAAGAGTCATTCAGGAATAATTTGAGGTTTGAATTCAAAAAATATCTATATATTATATACCCTCAGCCTTAAGGTGAATGCGGTCTCGAGATTGGTTAAATCCATTTAATTTCCATTTGCGGACTTTCAAATGAAAAATCATTAATCTCATATATAGCAATTGAAGAATCCGATTTTTTCCAATCATTGCACATCGTAATGTTTTTACCAAGCAGACAGAATTGTTTTTCCCCTTTAGATATATTCAGATTGGTTGGAAAATTCGGCAAGGACCTTATTATTGGGAAAATGGTTTGTGACCTTTATATGAAGGTAATAACAACAACTTACCAAGATTGTAAACATTTCTGCAAGAATCTATGGAAAAATATGTCGAAATCCTATTCGGTTTATATTAAAAGTATGACATACTTGTACTATGTATCATTGTCCTGGAACAGTCCTTATATTTTCCAATTGTCGTGCTTCTTTTTGGCAATATGTTATAGACGATTTTCGACAAGTGTAACCATGTGCCATTCAGCTAGCAATGGACTGCCGGTTAATTGTATTTGCATTGCAGAGTTGTCGAAAATCATTTTTTCGGCATCAGGCAGTCCGACATTTACAGCCAAGTGAATATACCAACAACAAAAAGT